TTCATGGTTTTCATGGCATTTGTGTTCATGCAGTACTTACCTGTAATATACTAAAGGAGTACTTTGACAATGGAGTCATAGCTAGTCTTACCTGTATGCCTGTGAAGGTGTGGTTTATATATGTATTTGAGTAATTAGTCTGGGTATTCTGACTAGGTAAACTGTGAAATGAGGAGCGAGTATGGTACAGTGTTTGACATGTCTATGTTCAGTGTTCATGTGTATTCTAAGATGCAGTATGGTATTAAAGTATTAAAGTAATAGTCAGTACGTGATGAATGAGTTTCAATGTGATACAGAGAGAGAGCTTCTGATCAAAACTGTATTTTTATATTTCTACAGGAAATAAATGTGTTGCACCGAGAGTGAGTGTTGCTTCATTCTTAAACCTGGAACAGTTGCAGCAGGATCCAGTTGATCAGATTTGTTGAGGTTCCTCAGAGTCACTCAGCCACCGTTTTACATCCATTTAAATGCATTGCTGTGTGTCATGATACTTGCAAACCATTCATTTTGTTTATTTCGTTCATCATCCGGCAGTAAAGGAGTTAACATGTTACTTGTTGAGGTAGCGTCAGCACACCGTTTCAACAAACTTTCCAGATGAGGTATTTTTATTTCTTTTCACAAGTGCTTTTATTTCAGGTATGGGCACTTTTATTTTGTTCAGTGATTTTGGGTTCATGTTGAATCTTTCGATTTGATTTGCCAAAGCCTTGGCTGAAAGTTTAATTTCTCTCTCTTTCACTCATTTCTTTCTTCAATTTCACGTTTGATTTTATTCCAGTTTTGTGTATTTAAAACACATCCACTTCAAGTTTGCGACAGATTTCCACACAATAAACGAATGAATCCAGCAAACATGATTGATCATTCCACACAGCGGCGGAGCAGAGAGACTTCGCGGAGATTCAGAGCAGTGATTCACAGAGCACTGATTCAGAGCAGTGATTCACAGAGCAGTGATTCACAGAGCACTGATTCAGAGCAGTGATTCACAGAGCACTGATTCACAGAGCACTGATTCAGAGCAGTGATTCACAGAGCACTGATTCACAGAGCACTGATTCACAGAGCGGAGATTCAGAGCAGTGATTCACAGAGCGGAGATTCAGAGCAGTGATTCACAGAGCAGAGATTCAGAGCAGTGATTCACAGAGCAGAGATTCAGAGCAGTGATTCACAGAGCAGTGATTCACAGAGCACTGATTCAGAGCAGTGATTCACAGAGCAGAGATTCACAGAGCAGTGATTCACAGAGCAGAGATTCACAGAGCAGTGATTCACAGAGCAGAGATTCACAGAGCAGTGATTCACAGAGCAGTGATTCACAGAGCAGAGATTCACAGAGCAGTGATTCACAGAGCACTGATTCACAGAGCACTGATTCAGAGCAGAGATTCAGAGCACTGATTCACAGAGCACTGATTCACAGAGCAGAGATTCAGAGAGCAGTGATTCAGAGCAGTGATTCACAGAGCAGAGATTCAGAGCAGTGATTCACAGAGCAGAGATTCAGAGAGCAGTGATTCAGAGCAGTGATTCACAGAGCAGAGATTCAGAGCAGTGATTCACAGAGCAGAGATTCACAGAGCAGTGATTCACAGAGCACTGATTCACAGAGCACTGATTCAGAGCAGTGATTCACAGAGCAGTGATTCACAGAGCAGTGATTCAGAGCAGAGATTCAGAGCAGTGATTCACAGAGCAGAGATTCAGAGCAGAGATTCACAGAGCAGAGATTCAGAGCAGAGATTCACAGAGCAGTGATTCACAGAGCGGAGATTCAGAGCAGAGATTCACAGAGCAGAGATTCAGAGCAGAGATTCACAGAGCAGAGATTCACAGAGCAATGATTCAGAGCAGTGATTCACAGAGCAGTGATTCACAGAGCAATGATTCAGAGCAGAGATTCACAGAGCAGTGATTCACAGAGCAATGATTCAGCGCAGTGATTCACAGAGCAGAGATTCAGAGCAGTGATTCACAGAGCAGAGATTCAGAGCAGTGATTCACAGAGCAGAGATTCAGAGCAGTGATTCACAGAGCAGTGATTCACAGAGCAGAGATTCAGAGCAGTGATTCACAGAGCAGTGATTCGCGTTCATTTCACATTAACATCAAGATGATTTGTAACACTGATACAGCCGATGCATAGAGGGATCCAATCGTCAACCAACCATCCGTTCCCATCAATATGTAAACCGAATTCCTTCCAATAATCTTCAGCTCATGCGCACATCCACTCCATTCACAGGTGAGCTTACCTGGCTGTAGTTCGCTCTGACAGCGTCTCCTTTAATGTTACACAGCCAGCTCCTACCTCCGGGATCTATCTCCGATGACCGATTCCTCCGCTTCCTCTTTGTGTCCTCTTGATCCTTTGCGCTGTCTTTTTGTTTACTCTGATACCTTTTTTGTTGACAAAATGTAGCGGCTGTCCTGATGATGAAGCCGCTGAGAGGCTGAGGTTGGGCCTACGCATTAACTCCGACGCATTAACTCATAATCACAGTGAACTAGAAACAATAGCGGTCAACAAAAAATATGGCAACCCAGCTCACCCCTCTTCCACTGAGAATAAAAAGTGAACAGGTGACTTGAATCAACACATCTCCACCCACGTGACCTGATATCCCTCACTCAACACAATCCTCATAAGTGATATACCGGTAATAATCAATTACCCAAAACAACAATATATAACAGACTACCTTAACTTTAAATAAATACCACAAAGACAATTATATCAATCCATGGCTCCAACACATTATTTATTTATTTATTGTAAAACTTGTGTTTATGGCTCCACTTTGATTGTGACAGATGAAGAGATTTATTTATATGATGCTGAATGAGACCGACCGATGATGTTTTGATAGGTGAAGGCTGCGTGAAATATCCAAAAGAGATTCAGTTCAGGGATATAAAGAAAACAAAAAGTGCTTTATCACAAAGTCAGCCAGTACTGTCATTTATATTTATACTTTATTCACCACTGCTCCTTCACCTGTCATTTTGGGTTCATGCCAAAGTTTGTGTTATGTTTCATTTATTTAATATCATCATGTTGTGCTTGTGTTCCAATAAAGATTTGCTCTGATGCAATTCTGAATGAAAACGTCTGAATCCTGTATCTTTATAGAGATAAAGTCGCTCACAATGAAGGTCTTATTTGAGAGTGAGCTCCCTTTAAGTAGTGCCAACTTATTAACTGTATATGGGATGGTAGAGGTGTTTGGGGGAGTCAACTGTCTTTAGGTCACATAGATTTGCACTTTTAAGGGCTGAGAGATTGTTTTTCTTCCTTTCTCTTCGTGAGCAAATTGTCCCGATCATCTGCGACTTCCCTCGCAGGGTCTCCTCTAGTCGCTCGACACACACACGCTGCAGGACGGACACTGCCGAAACAACTAAATACCCGCAGTATCTCACTCCTTGCCGTCTTTGCGTTTCTCTCGTTGCTTTGTTTTTGACCCTTGGCCGCTGATTGGACAATCAACAAACTGTAAATCAAATACAACAAAGATAAACAGGTGCCGAAAATCTGTCATATGTCACACCAAGGCAGAAAGTGAACTCTTCTAAAAGCATGCACACAACCAAGAGTATTAATCAAAACACAATGGCAGAAGAATGTGCAATATAATAATATATAATAAAAACCCTATGCTCAATAAAATATAGAAATGGTAAGCGGACATGAGCTTATATAGCTTTTTGGTCTTTCAATTTCGGTACTCAATGTCGGATTTACCCAACCTCACTCATTCATGCAGTAATTGTGTTTTCCCATTCACGCGCATTCACTCGGGCGATGCCGGGTTAAGTGTCTTGCCCAAGGACACAGCGAGGTTTGGCCAAGGTGGGACTCGAACTCTCAACCTTGCGATTGAGGGCCGAACGCCCTGCCAGTTGTGCCACATTCGCCCCGGCATTTGATATTATGTCAACCTTATATTTATACCTTTTAATATACTTTAACTTACTTTTATACTTTTACGTTTCGTTTTTTTTTTACGTTAAAACGCAAACATTTACATTTAAAGTCGCCAGAAAAAGCATATGTAGATTTAAAAAAACACTTCAGCTGTGAACAAATGCAAATAACCTCAGCATTCATTAGAAATAACTGGTTTTACGTTTCTATGGAAACAGCGATACATAGAGCTAGCATGGCCACAGTTACATTCTAGTTAGCGTTAGGCTACAGCTAACAGCAAGACAGAAGTATAGCTTACTTCAGTACTCTTCATCCTCCTCATATCTCCCATATGTATCTCCCACAATATCCACTACGTTAGCAGCATCTTCATCGCATGAATGAGCATCAACATCCTCTCTCTCTGTTAACAACAGCCCAGCAGGACTAAAGGGATCCATCGTCCTTTAATTTAAAGAAAGCATTTATTGTGTTTCACAGAATCTACTGGACACTTGTTGTTAGTCATTGACAACATTTAAGGGTAGCATTGTGTTCATGTTGTCCCGGAAATCAGATTAGGGTCTGACCGGACAGGAGACCTCCACCAATCAAATCATAGCGCACGAAAACATCAGAGTTCATGTTCTCACATGATGAGAAAATGTGCAGGAGACACAAAATGACCACAACAATTATTTTCATTTATTTATTAGCACACATATAAGAATACATCGAAATAGGATTAACAGCTCTCAAGAACTGCCATCAATGTTGTGCTTTGTCTCTGGTCACTTCCTGTCAGCACCTGTGTGTCCAATCAGACTCAAAGCTGATCGTTTGCTCTTACTCACATTGTTCCCTTTTTTCTAGATCCTTACTTGTGTTGTATTTACTCTCTGATGTACGACGCTTTGGATAAAAGCGTCTGCTAAGTGAATTGTAGAATTGTAGAATTGTAGAAGAAGCCAACAAGCTTATACAAGGGACCTGACCTCTTAAGAGACAAATAAATCAACTAAATCGAATTACACAATTTCAAAAGAAAATGAAGTATAAACACACCTCTACATACACACACACTTAGACACATACATACAATAGAAAGACTGAGAATGTTAACCCTCTATCAGCTAAATGAGATTTAAATGTAAATGTTTGCGTTTTAATATAAAAGTATAAATTAAAAGGGTAGATGATAAATATAAAGTCGACAGAATGCCGGGGCCAAACCTCGCTGTGTCCTTGGGCCAGACACCTAACCCGGCATCGCCCGAATGAATGAGTATGAATGGGAGAGTCCCAATCACTGAATGAATGGGTGAGGTTGGGGAAGTGTGACACCAAGAACCGAGATCGAGAACTGAGAATCATGAACCATATAAGCTCATGTCCACTAACCATTTTGATATTTTATTGAGTGTAACAGGGTTAGAATGAACCTCTTTTGAATTTCTACAAAATGAATGTGTCTGTCATATTTATGTTACTTTGTTGCCGCCTGGTGGTCTAATAGCGCAACTGTAGGGCTCCTAGCTGGCCACCGTACGTACCTCAGCAAAGGAATGTCTCCTGAGCTGAAGGTGGGTGTGTGTGTTTAGTGCTGCGACCAACATGTCTCTGTTTAATGTTTTAAAACTGTTCCAAAAACTTTAGGTAACATGTATTTTGTTCATTAACCCATTTAGAATGTAATGTTAGAGTTTCGGACATTTATGTGTTGAAATGTTTATTTTATGAGTTTCAGTTTGTTTACATGCCGAGCTAATGCTAGTTAGCTTACCAGTTAACACGTGTGCGTGTTTTTGTGTTATACAAATGTGAGTCCTTGCAGTTGCATATCAATGCTGATTGTGTGTGTTTGATTATACACCAGGTAGGCACTGTTAAATTAGTTTTACATAAAAAGTGAACTGTGGATTCATGTTGTTTGTGTTCATTGTAAAAAGCTATAAAATGCGTCCAGAGAAACAAGTCTATCCATTTGGCTCAACAACACCACTCCATGTAAGAGGGATTTTTTCTGCTGATTTGAAATCAAGTGAGGATTCAAAAACTGTCACAAGTGATCAAAGAAGCACGAATATGTGTGCTGGGGAGAAAGACTGCTGTTAAGTTGGGACTACTTCATATTGGCTCTATCGAACAGGTGTACGCTGTCGAACCAAAAGATACAGTAGTTTTTACAGCTGAGCTACAGGAGAAATACAAAGACTGTTTTCAAGGTTTAGGCAAACTTAAGGATTTCCAGCTGGAGCTGCACGTGGATAACAGTGTAAAGCCAGTAGCCCAGCCGGTTCGCAGAAAAAATTCAGTTTACGAAAACAAGTGGATGAGAAACTCAAAACAACTTGAGAAGATGGATGTCATTGAAAGAGTGAGCGGACCAACACCATGGGTGTCTCCGCTAGTTGTGGTTCACGGTAAGAAAGAGCCGAGATTGTGTGTCGACACGCGCAGAGCAAATGAGGCTATAGTGCGAGAGAGGCACCCTATCCCCATCATAGATGAGATACTGGAGGACATGACAGGTGCCACAGTGTTTTCAAAGTTGGATCTCATATTGGCCTCGGGCAAATGAAGTTGAAAGACAGAATAGGACACTCTGTTAAGCCATACGCACAGCTCATGCTGAAGGCAGGGACTGGCGCAGTGAGTTCGATGTTTTCCTTATGGCTTACCGCAGCACCCCCCACTGTGTCACAGGACGCAGTCCAGCAGAGCTCTTATTCCATCGCCAGATCATAACCAAGCTTCCTGAACTGTTGATGGACTGCCAGCAGCCCCCTGCAAGCCAGGATGCTGTTGTTCGCAGGACTGATGCTGCAAGGAAGGAGAAGGGACGTGTAGATGCGGACAGAGTTAGAAGAGCAAAAGATGGCACTGTGAAGCAGGGCGACAAAGTCCTGCTCCGTCAACAAAAACGAAACAAACTTTCTACACCATTCAAACCAGACCCCTACACTGTTGTGAACCGAAAAAGGATGCTCAGTTATTCTTGAAAAAGATGGCAAGGAGATGATACGTCATGTGTCACTGGTGAAGCGGTGGGTCCAACCTGAATTAGAGACAGTTGTGTCAATCTGTGTGGCCCGATAGAGGCACAGCACCAGTTGAAACTGCTCAACAGGACATTAGACCTCAGAGAGCAAAGAGAGTGCCAACTCATCTTGTGGACTATCATTTAGATAGACATTGCCATAATGGGGCAGAATAATCCCCGGCATTTGTCTTAATGGCAGGGTAGTTCACCCCTCGCCATTCAGGTTATGTTCTGGTTTAAAAGCAAAAGTGAAGAGAAAACATGAGAGTTTATTTAAATTGAAATGTAGTTATCATTATCTAGAAGGAAATGCTCCAGATGTGTTTCTGCGTATAAATTTATCTTGTTATATTTCTATTTGAGCCCAGCTTTATGTTAACTATGCAGTTGCGCTGAATATTAATATATACAGGGCACAGTAAGTGAATACATATAATATTTATATGTTTTTATCAACAACAGGAATAGTGAATTGAGTACCTGAGTAATTAAGTTTTGTTTATGTAGTTGTGATGTAAGTCATCATCCAAGAAGGGGAGGGATGTAGTGTACGTCACGTGTGGCGTTATACGTGATGACGTGGTAAGTGCCTAACCTGTATGTTACCGGAAGCAGGTGTAATAAAGCAGCATGAAAACGGTCCAGTATCGTTGGTGTTAATATGGTAAGAAACACTACAATGGGATATACAAATAGATAGATAGAGACCATAGACAGATAGATACATGCTCATTCTTGAGCCGGCAAAGGAACAGAGAGAGGAACACCTGCGTGTCAAGGCCAGTCTGACGTCGGTGCCCACTGATCCACAGCATCCACAAGAGCTGAGAAGGAGGCAGTGTCAGACAAACACGCACTGCAAGGAAAATATGACCATTGTATCCTGCAAGGGGTGCAAGCGCCCTGTGAGTGGGAAGTGCACCGCAAAGGTTGAGCACTTTTGCCGCAGGTATGTGCATTACGTGCCGCGGTGCTGTCCAAGGTGCTGAGCGTTCATTTGTTCATCTGTTTGTTTGTTCGCCGCTGCATCTGTTATGGAGTTCTGCAGTTATTTTTGTAGGCTATATAGTTTGTCATGGCCATAGATAGCCGTGTTTTTGTTGTTGTTGTTGTTGTTTTTGGCGCGAGTGTGTTGTTCAATGATTTCTTCTATGTCGGGGAAACAAACCCAGTTGCAGAGAGGAGGAGGAGCATCGGTGTTTATCTCTTTATCTCTCTCTTATCTCTTTTTGCAGTGTTTTTATTAAAATGCGTAGCCTAATATATCCAACAATAAAATAGACTAAAAGTTAGGTATGTTTCATTTTTGTAGAATGTGTTTTAACAACGGGAGACGTGGAGCAGCAGAAAAAAACGGCGCACTAAAAAAGCCGACAGATATTGTAAATTGACATGCAATATTTCAAAGGTTACCGATCCTGCCTTATGCTGGTAGCCTATTTCGTTTGTAGATAAAAGTAAGTTGTATTTAACTTCATCAAAAAAAATGCATTATTTGTGTGCTTCTGAGCACAAACAATTACATTTGCATATGCCGTCTGAAAGACGGCTGCAGTGCTTGGAGGGGGGTCTAAAATGTTGGTGGTCCTAGTGTTAAAGCTTATTATAATGAATTCACAAATGTCTGCCAGTACAATTTGGAGAGGTGGAAAAGGTTTTATTACAGTAATCTCTTTTATTAAGAGAGGCATTTTAAGTTTGTTCAGAGTAAATGAAGTTTATTACGTGAACCTAATGCTGTTTATCTCACATTGGTTTAAACAAAGTTAGTAGCCTATCTAATTAAGGTAGATGACT